GAGGGCTGAGGGCCGCGTGAGCGGCGGAGCTGCCTGTCCGCTCGCTGGCCCGGGGCCCTTCCTCGAAGGCGTGACCGAACCGGCGCTCGGCCCCCGTGTAAGGTTTCCCTGCCTGGCGCAGTAGCCCTTCCTCGGAGAAGGGAGGTGGTTACCGGTGACCGGGGGCACGCAAAGGCCCCTTCGCGCTGCTGACCCGGTGCTCGGGTGGGCCTGGCTTGTCCAAATAAAAAGACAGAGCGTGCTGAATATCCCGGTACAACGGCATTCGTTGCCCTCAGCTGGGTGAGGTTCTGGGGAAACACACCAGAAAGATGTACGTAGACACCTTAGGATGAGGTCCTGCTGGGGAATGGCGTTTCACGCTAGGAAGAAGAAACCTGTTAAATTTGCATGTTAAAGTAATTGCCTATAGGCAAGCGCAGCCTGCTTTTTTTAATGTAACATGCAGGAGAAAAAAAAGACAATCTGGTAAGAATAAGCAAATAAACCACACCTGCTTAAACACACTTGCTTATTCAACTGGCTTTGGTAAAGCCAGAGTGTTAACGTTTTGTATCTCAGAAACAGTTCCTTAAAGATCACACGTCACTCAAAGGACACGCTGCCTTCAGCGTGAACGTATACTTTCAATACATACCTGTACGGGATGTATTGTTGCAACAGTGAAAACATCAAACTATTTGAATAATTAACTTCAGTGAAGGAAAAAAATGTTATTTCTTGTATTCCTATTTTTGTCAGCACTTACTTTCTAAGGTAATTCTAGTAATGCAGCAATTGACCACACAAAGACTTAACAGCAGATTTAGAAGCTAGTTTATCATTGTCTACTTTAAGGAATCTTCCCAGTTCTTATGAAACCCATATCCTAGCTCTTCTCAAATAGAAGGTGTAGTACTTTTGTATTTTTCCTAAAGAGCCAGTCTCTTACACACATGAAAACAAGGATTCAGAGCACCTTAGAAACAGAAGGACCTCAGGATATCCTTCTTAGCAACCTCCTCTACAAGATCAAGTGTATCTATTCCATCCTTGGCAGATGTTTGCTTAAATTCTCATGAAAACCTCTATGAAAGAGATTCCACAGTCTTCCTTAGTAACCTCCTACAACACTTCTCTATTACTGCTAGGGAGCATTCTCTGTTTGCTCGGGCAGTGTAACACGTTACCTATGGTGGCTGTGGAATCGCCTGCTTCTGAATATTTTCAATGGTTGGACAAACAAGTGTAGAGTGTGTTTTGTACAGACTGGCTCCCGCCTCAGTGCAAGGAATTGTACTAAGTCTCTAACCACATTTCTTCAGATCGCAAAGTACCAAAGTGTGATTCTGTGCAGCTCCTTAATTTAGAAGAGGTAATGTGTTCATTCAAACAGCTGTGAAAATCCCATTAAATTAAAATAAATCACTTTTAATCTGGTTTTGTTATTAGGCTTCAGTGTTTGGTCTGATATAAAACGAATCAGTTAGTTTTTCATCAGAATAAAATCAGAATACAGATCAGTGGCAGAAAAAAAAAGGGAGAACACATTCGTCCTAACAAAACTGACCTATGTATTCACAAATTGGCCTGTGACTGATAAGAAAAGCAGTGCAGGAGAAAAATAACTGTTCTGCTGTTTGCATTTCAAGGCACACTGTAGGAATTACCAAACCATCCAATTGAAAACACTGATATGTTATGAAGATATTTATTAGTTCTTTGTTTATCACATTCTTGTTTCTGTCAAAACATCTCCTGCCATAAGTAACTGAATTACTACATTATGCTTTGTTTAACGTGCCATTAAAGAAGTATGTAAGATTTTAGGAGAAATCAAAACAAAGATATTATAAAAGTACTTTATAATGTGCAATGAACCAAAGAGATTAATGTAAAAAAAAAAGGAATATTGAGGCATTTTTAACAGAGTTACAGGTAAGTAAAATACTACATATATGTAAAAAGACAACTTACTGTAAGACCCTTTATTTCCGTACCTTTAAGTCTGTGCTATGAGAATTATTATTCAGTAATAATATAACATCAAACGTCCTCAATTTAAATATTTTACGTAAAACTGCAAGGAAGGCTAACTCTGCTATTATCTTGAAGAAGGATGTGATTAAATCATAGAATCATAGAATCATAGAATCATTATGGTTGGAAGAGACCTCAAAGATCATCAATGCCACCATGCCCGCTAAACCCACTAAACCATGTCTCGAAGCACCACATCTAAATGTTTTTTGAACACCTCCAGGGATGGTGAGAGTATTTTAAGTAGAAAGAGAATTGATGTTATACAAACTAGATACCCAGTATCTTCTTGGTGTCAGAATCCTAGTCTTTCCCAAGTTCAAGTCAATAGCAAATAGATGGAAATCACCTCTCAACTCTTCTTACGTACTCTATTTCTTTCTTGATCAACTCAAAAGCCCAGTGAACACCACTGTGTGTAGAAATGAAGTTTTATTAGAATAAAATCTTGTAAATTCACCAAAGGAGCAGGAAGAAAATAATTTCTTCTAATGATAATCATTTGAAAGAGAAAATTTTCTATGGTATGATGATCCAGCCTGTATGAAATATCATCTGATGCAGAAAACATCATCATCTGAGCCACCCTATCTTTTTAGAATCTTCCACGTGCAAAGTATGTAGACTGATCATCATTACTTGCATTTATTTGCACTATTCCAATCACCGCAGTGAAGTACTGTGCCTTTCAGAAAGGCAAACTTGACTCCTCCTTTGGACGCTCACATATGCTAGAATTGCTTTCATTCAGCAGTCAATGCAATTTTATTTCTATTCCCAAGTAGAGTAGCCAAAATTATACAGTCAATTTTTCCCTCTGTCAAGGAGTTTCAAAAGAGGGAGGAGGATTTCCAGGGCTCTCCTGACTATTTCTTTATCCTGTTCCTACATGCCCTATAAAGTATGAAGTGTGTAAAGTTTCCCATTTTGGCACAAGGAATCTGTTGGTGGCTGGGGCAATCCAGATTCACCGGAGGCCTATTCCTTCATGCTTCTTTAAGACTTTTGTCTTTCCTCTATGCCAAAAAACTTGCCAGGTGATAATTGTTCGCTTCACCCCCAAAGAAAGGGAATTTCCAGACACAGAGATCCTATAGTCAAAAGATAATACAGCATTGGGACTTACAGAAGTGAGGGGGGTGGGGTTCAGAATGAACCAGCACCAGCATTCCCCACAGCTAATGGAAAAGGTGGAAGTTGTGCTCTGAAGAATCATCTTCTCTAATAATTTCAAAAGTCTCATCCAGAATATTTCATAGTGTATGCTTGTGAAGAACACCAAGCCATGAATACAATCCTAAAAAAGGATGCAGGCCAACGGGGACAAGTTTCATGAAGGAAAAGTCCAACAGAATTCAGAATTTTTTTCCTGATTTCTAAAATAAGTGATATTAAGCACGGGAAAAAGTTGCCCTTAAAGTTGAGGTTGACAAATCTCCATCCTTAAAGATATTTAAAACTCATCTGGGCAGGTTCCCGAACAACTTATCCAACATGAGTTGGCCCTGCTTTAAGGAAGAGATGACCTCCAGAGGTCATATCCAACCTGAATTATTCAACGATTCTAATAAGAAGTATAAAATATCTTTTACTTCTCAATTTTTGTATCATATTTTGAAAAGTATTCCTTCCTCCATCTATCCTCTTAAAAGAAACCACATGCTACCAATATGATTAATACCTTCCATTCCCTTTTCTACAGCTGTAGTATAGTCATTGCCTCTCCATAATGAAATTAATGTTCTGTATGTTGAGAAGGTTTATGTTACTACATTAAACTATAAGATTTTATTTAAAAGCACACCTTGAATTAGATGAATCATCGAGTTTCATCAGTGTCTTGAAAACGATCCCTTTCAGTTCCTTTGGGCAGCATATGAACTGTACCACATGAAGAGTAGCAATCAACTGCAGTAGCTTTCTTTTCCATTTGGGCCTAAGGAAGAAGAAAAGGGAAGCTGTATCACTATTTAAATAATTTTTTGACAACAGAAAAGGTACTTTCTGCAAAGTACTCCATATCACTTTAAAACATCAATTATCCTAACACTACTTAATTGCTTAACCATACGATCACTACTATCAAGAGTATACACATTAGTGATTTGACAAACATGCTCCTGGCTTTCAAACTTAAATTTGGTAATGCTTTGTTGGGATTTCTGCAGTTTATGTTTGCTTGGGTTCTAATCTACTCTGATTTTAATACATGCAATAATGCGAAACATGTAAGATTTTTGCCTTTTAATGGAGCATTGTGCCCTCCAATAATTTAGAAAGAAGGAATTGCCTTTTTTCCCCCAAGTTTTCTGGTCCGCTGCCAGCAAAGAGCACCAATTGACAGAATCAAACAGCAAAGTGTGTATGGGCAGTGCATACTGAATGCTGCAGGAACTGCATGTGGGGGGAAGATTTATATAAATATTATTCGTATTATTTGAAATGTGAAAAGCAGAAGTGATCTCTGCCTCTATCCTAGGAGAGACTTTTCTTCCCTTTCTTTAGTAGATATTAATATAGCAGATACAATAATTGATATAAAAGAACCTTTATTGCCACCCCAACTATCTCTCATCCTCCACACATTTCTCCAGGAGATGTGCTCAGCAATCAGGACACTATATTGTGAGAGAAGTTGAGAAGAAACTGTATTATTAAAATCAGGCACTTATGAAAACTTAAAATTTTCAAAGAGTTAAGAGATCTATTTAAATTCTGAGCTTATCTTACTGAGAGTTCCACTAGACATATAGAGTAATAACATAGACAGATAGGAAATATAATACAATGTACTGCATTTGAATGACAGAAAAGTATTTACCAACTGACTGAATGCCTTTTCTAATAAGGAAATTGTTAATTAAATGACCAACATCAAATGTCAAGATTTTCCCCAACTGTGGGCTCAGATTCCAAGAGCCATCCTGTGGCATAAACAAAGATACGGATAAGCCAAAGATTCAGGACACTGAAAATGTATTTGGCAAGAACAAAACAGACATAGGAGAATTACTTTAAATATTTTTAAAAAGCTTGCACAAACACAAAACCTGAAATCCACATAATCAATTTAGGTGATTCAAATATTAAATTTCAAAAACCTTTGATATGCCATCAAGTATCTGTAATTGACCTGGAATGTTGTAGTTAGCCTGCCTTGTAAAAAAACCCTTAAACAATAAGAACAAAGTCATTTAGAAATCACTCACATATGAAGTATGCACAATGACAACACTAGCCTTTTCACATTTATTTCAAACAAATTCCTTCTGATGATTATTTTTAAAGGTGCTAAAAAATAAGCATTCCTCTTACTTAAAAGAAACAATAAAGGATCCCTTTCCTCTGCTGAGAATGCAAAGTCTCTATAAAATTATTAAATTTACTATATATGTTGTTAAATGCAGTATTAACAAAACCAATCCTATTTTATCTGACTTTCCCTGCCAAGAATTAGACAACTCTCATGATTAGAATTATCTGCCAAATGGTTTTCTACCCTCAGGTCAGATGGAAGACAGGCTTTCAACAGGATGTTCAAGTGCTTACTCTTCAATATTAAATACTTTTGAAACTCTACCTGTCCTTGCAGCTTTATGTCTTAGAAAACTGTAACTGCAGAGACAAATTTATAACGATTTAAGGTAATTTAGAAGATAATGTATTATTTTAAAAGGATGTTTAGATAGTAATTATCCAAATTATGTAAAAAGTGAAAATCTTTAGAATATTAAGTTTAATTAATATAAAAAAACATGATAAACTTTTCTTTTTAAAATTCAATAATTGGCAATTCTGCTGAAAAAGAAGAAATCTTGAACTGCACTTCGGGATGTAATTCCCGCAAGAGTCAATCACAAGTCTACTGCTCTAATCCCCACTGCATCCATGGGGCATATGGTAATGGTTCAATGATTAGAAATAATTTGATAAAAGTGTCCTGTCAAAAATATAGGAAAAATATGTATCTCTTCTTAAGGCTGAGGTTGGCTATACTTTCACATACAAACTTCATATGTAAAATAAAATTACACACAGAATGAAGCAATGCTTTAAAAAAAACAGCAAAAAAGAGACATGAGGGTGCAAATACTAGGTGGACTCTGCTGCACAAAGGAACATGAAGCTGGAAGACTTACTGAATCTCCTGTACAGGGTGTTCTCCCAGCAAAAGGGAATTCAACGTATCACCATGCTGAACAGCCAATCTCTGCCGATAAACGACAGGAGTCTTCACTGAGGGCATCCAATGGTGGCTTCTTCACTTGGTTCATGTAATACTCTTGAAAACCTCCTTCTGTTTATTACTTAAAGATATCAACTGGTTCATGGATGTACAGGCAAAAAAGAACACGGTAAGGCTGGTAATGAGGCTGCTTTCCAATTCAAGAAATCTGAACCTGAAATGCAGAAAGCATTCTTTTTGTTTGGTTGGGTTTTAGTTATTCTTTTCCAAAGTGATAAATCTTATACTCTGAATCCTGCCACTCTCTTTCTGCCATTCTCATTCTGGCAAATTCTCTGGCATTATAGAGACAGTACATTTTTCTTTGTGAGTTTGAAATGTGTTGAAAACAGGCAATAAGCACATAATGCAGCACATTAAAAATACTCAGTATATACAAAAAACCAGTACATGTAACTTCGTATTTTTTACTATATTGAGGGACAATGTATTGTCAGTAATTAGATTCACATGGAATATAAAGGTGGACAGTATATATTTGTATGTATAATTCGTTCAAATCCACAAAATTGAAATAAAATCAAAATTTCATGCAGTTCTTTTTGTCAGAAACCTATCACCACCCTTTGAACGAAAGCAAACATAAGCATTATTATAGATGTGCTTAAAATACATTGCATTCTGCAAAATCATGTTAAGAGACAAATTACATAGCATAATACAGTGCCAAGCTGAATGGGGTATTTCTGTGTGGTACTGCATTGTGTTGTGTAGGTGCTTTTGCCTTAAGATACCTGAAATGCTTTGTTCCACTGGGTCAAAAAAGTCATCCTAGACTAGAAATGAGATTAAAGCTATTATATTTACAGACATAATTCAAACATTACATTCTAGAAGTCTGTTTCCTGAAAGGCATCGTATCAACAAGGGGAAACTGAATCTTTTGAAGAACTGAAAAAACAGATATGTAAAAGTCAGAATGACAGGTAATAATCTGTTGACACACTTCATAAACAACTAGTTCATGAAATCACACAGGTGTTCCCTTGCTAATCTGCAACATATTTTTTCTTCTGAATATTGCTTCTCTTATGTACCAGATGGAATATTCAGGTGAATTGCAGAAAGATATTTAAATTGACTCAGTTGAGTTATCTTATTTTGAAAAGTAGTTCTTGACCTGGGAATTTCTAATAATTTCACAGCATTGCATTTTATATTGCTTTTTTAATCAGATGTTTTATGGAATGCATGTCTGTCTTTTGATCTTTAATTACAAATTAGAGAACGGAAGAATGAAGAACCACCCCCTGTAGGAGAAGATCAAGTTCAGGACCATCTAAGGAACCTGAAGGTGCCCAAGTCCATGGGACTTGATGAAATGCATTCGCAGGTCCTGAGGGAACTGGCAGATGAAGTCGCTAAGCCACTATCCATCATATTCGAGAAGTCATGGCAGTCCAGTGAAGTTCCGGCTGACTAGAAAAGGGGAAACATAAGCCCCATTTTTAAAAAGGGGAAAAAGGAAGACCCAGGGAACTACAGTCAGGCTCACCTCTGTGCCTGGCAAGATCATCGAGCAGATCCTCCTGAAAACTATGCATAGGCACATGGAAAATAAGGAGGTGATTGGAGACAGCCAACATGGCTTCACTAAGGGCGAATCATGCCTGACAAATCTGGTGGCCTTCTACAACGGGATTACAGCATTGGTGGATGAGGGAAGAGCAACTGATGTCATCTACCTGGACTTGTGCAAAGTCTTTGATACTGTCCCAAATGACATCCTTGTCTCTAAATTGGAGAGGCATGGATTTGATGGATGGACCACTTGGTGGGTAAGGAATTGCCTGGATGGTCGCA